AAAAAAAAAACACAGAAACACAAGTGACCATTCAGAAAAAACCTTGATTGTGCTAGACTTGCTTTCTTTATTCTACATATCATAATATTTTTTATTCAAATTTCAATATATGCCATTTAGATTTTTTGTACATCTGATCTGAATCTTTAGATTTCTATATGCTTCATCGCCCCTCTCTTATTTGCTTTAGTCCCAAAATTGTACTCAATAAACACGCCAGTGCAATGTTTTACCCAGGATGATAAATTATTACCAGACTGCCCCACAAAATCTCATAAACACATCCAAAAATACCCAACACAGCGTTGAAAGGGCTAATAATTACATAAGCTAATGAACGCGCTTCAATATGTGGTTGCGTGGGAATAGAGACGATAATAGCAATCTTTGAGGCTGATATAAAGTTGAACTGTTATCATGAAAATATTTTCCACTAAATTCACCATTAGAAGCTTTGCGCTTTCCCATCTACACAACCTATGTATTTTATACGAAACATTGGAGAAAAGTAACATCTCCGAAAAATATGCTATTTTAAGGAAAAATGATATTGTTTTGTATGACTAATAATCTGCTGTGGCAATTGAAAGTGACCTAAATTCTGATCGTGTTCGCTCTCTTAGATATTTTCTTCAAATGAAATTTTCAGGACTCGAAAATGTGGAACACAAAATTGTCAAAGGACGAAATTCTAACGGTGTTGCAAGAGTTGTTGGAAACCGGGTTTACCTAAAAGTAGGTTACACCGGTATTAAATTGTGTTTACCTCAAAACTATCTCATTTCAGGTCAATATCAAAGATGAGCAGCAACTATACCCACTTGTCGAATTCCTGCAAAACAAAATCGCAACACCGAACAACTTGTTGTTCGATGATTTCCAGTAAGTCAATATCCATGAGTAAGATTTGGAAAACTTCCTACTTTTCAGATTTGACGACAATCAGCTATCGATGCGAATCAGCCGATTAGAAAGCCAAAAGCCGAAAGCGGAAAAGCGCATCGATACTGTCGAAGGAGTCGCGCAAGCTGTCTGTGAGTGTTAATCAGTGCTATTCAAAGAAAAAACTTTTTACCTAGTTACATTTCTATTAATAGAAATAGGACTGTCGCGTGAATTTGAAAATAACAACAAGTCAAAAAAAGTAATACAAAGTAAAAAAGAATAACAAAATGAAAAGTAATTCAATAGTAATACAATGTAATACAATGACAGGCATGGAAATTGGTATCCTTGCTGACATACAATAATTGAAGCCATTTTCAACTCCAATTGCAAGAGCTTTGTCTTCTAAACTCTAAAAAATCGAAAAAATCAAATAATGGAGATAAGAGCACAAGTACAGACGTACAGCTGAAGCTA